CGGAGAGCTGTACTCACCCTCCCTGGAGTGAGTGCCTCCCCCTGTGTCAGGAAGGCTGATGTGGCCCCTGATAGTTCTGCTTATTCACAGTCAACTCAGTCATCGCTTTTTTAGGAACAGAGAGGAGGGAGGGAAGGAGGAAGAGAAGGAGGGAGGGAGAGAGAGAGCGAGGAAGGGAGGGACGGAGGAAACAAGACAGAGGAAAAGGGATGAAGAGAAGGAGGAAGAGAAGGCAAGAAAAAACAAGACAAGAAAAAGCAAAGCAAAGAACAAACTTCTTTTTCTCTAGCCCCTTAGGAATTCTCCTGGAAGGGGCTGGCTGGTTTTGCCAGTGGCTCTCTGGCTCTGCAGATTCTGGATATACATTTATTTCCCTTAAGACTGGTTGTCTGCAGAGCGGGGGAAACAAACCAGAACCCCCACCCCCACCCCAATAAATCAATAGAGGTCACTGCCAAGAGCTTTGTACACTTGCTGTCCCTGGCAGTGATAAACTCATTGCATTTGGGAACTGGCCAAAGACCCTAAGTCCTATCTTAATTCTTATTCCCAGAAAAACCTCAGCGCTCTAATCACCCACCCCGTTTACTGTCTTTGTGTTTCCAAGACAAAGCTGGCAAGGAGGAAGGAACAGCATTCCATAACTGGGTACATCAAAGGCTCCATTTCTTCGCTTGGGGGAGGAGAGGAGGGTAGAGAAGTCATGGATCTGTGGACTGTGGGAAAGGAAGGCCCAGACCAGAGGAGCCTGAAGTCACGGGCCCTGCCAGGGGCACAGGGAACCTGCAGAGGTTCTTGCATTTTGTTTGCCTCAGACCATGCTTTGCATCTGCTATCGTTGCTTTGCTGCTTGTTCCCTCAGAGGGTAATTTGAGGCTGTCCTGACGACAGCCACAGGCGAGCAACTGGGTTGGCAGAGTAAGATCACTGTATGCAGCACAACACCGACAGGTCATGTTCTCACCCCATGCTGTCTCCCCACACCACCCCCACCTGGGATCTGGCTTTGCTGTCAGCCAGATGACATGGGGAGGATGACGTTGGCACCAAAACTGCTCCTCTGACCCACATCGACACCCTCCCCTGCTGGAGAGTGGACCACCACTGTCTGGTGCTTCTTCGTCCGTGTCCCCGGATTGTCCTTTGTGCATTGGTTGACCAAATTACACAGCAGCAAGACCATTCTTCCACCCTCAGTCCCCGTTTCTCTCTCTCTCTCAAATCATCTTACCTTGATGAGGGCCCTTCTGTTTGATAGACAGCCATCCCCACCTCTGGCAGGGCAGGTCATCCTGTTTACACCCATTCAAAGCACCCTCTACTTGCACTTCTTTGTAGCCCTTAGCTCAAATACACCCCCATATTTACAAAAGCAACATGCAACCCTACTAATAGGCATGGGCCCAAGGAAAGGAGCAGAATGAAATTAAATAGTGGCTTGGGTCTGAGACAGCTTTGATAGTGGTAGTCTATGATCTTTGTGCATCCATCTTGCCTAATAAAATCTAAACGTCATGATAGCAGGGACTTACCTGTCTGTCCAGGCTGTCATCTCAGTGCCTGACACCATGCCTGGCACCTACTAGATGCCCAATCAATAACTGCTGAATAGTTTTGTGATTAAATGTTTAGGCATCTGCTTTATCATGCTCTTCTTTTAATTGATAAGTTCTTTCTTTCTTTTTTTTTAACTTTTTTATTGGGGAACAGTGTATTTTTCCCAGGACCCATCAGCTCCAAGTCAAGTTGTTATCCTTCAATCTTAGTTGTGGAGGGCGCAGCTCAGCTCCAAGTCCAGCCTCCGTGTTCAGTCTAGTTGGACTGGGTTCAGCCCACCATCTCATGCAGGAGTCAAACCAGCAACCTTGTTGTTAAGAGTGCGTGCTCTAACCAACTGACCATCCGGCTGCCCATTGGAAGCTCAGCGGCAGCTCAGCTCAAGGTGCCATGTTCAATCTAGTTGCAGGGGGCGCGGCCCACTGGCCCATGTGGGAGTCGAACCAGCAACCCTGTTGCTCAGAGCTCATGCTCTAACCAACTGAGCCACCAGGCCACCTGATAAGTTCTTTCTTTTAATTGAGTAGGCTTTTCTTGTCCATGATGACACTGGAGGAATTAGCTAGATCGGGAGTGAAGTTTGTTGCCAAGGCCAGAGGGCTGGGCTAGGGGAGACTTCTGTATTCCTTTGAGGGCAACAGGGGGTATTTTGTGAAACATACCTAAGGATTTAGGTTTCTCTGAGTAGTCAGAACAAGAAGCAGGGACCGGCTGCCTTGGACACGGGTTTAGAGAGGGTCTAGGCATGAGTGACAGCCCTCTTCAGATACTCAGGAGCCACCTGGCTCTGTCAGTCAGACAGAAGTGATGCCTGAGATAAGGAGACAGTTTTTACTCTGCGTTAACATTTGTACCTCAGACTTAAATGTTAGCACAATTTAAAGAGACAACAAATGCAAATGGAGACTGTGGTGTCCCTCAGTCTGGACTCTGAAGCCATTGGGACTGAGCAGAGATGCTCACCTATGGACTTCCTCGGAGCTGAGTGTGATCCCCACTCTCCTTCCATACAGCGAGCAGGAAGGGATCCGATCATAAACCGAAAATAAGTATCCAGCCTGCAAACTTGCTGAACATTAAACTCAGACAAGCATTTCAGTGAACCAAGAAACAATGTAAATTCCACTAACGTTTGACCTTGTGCTAGACGCTATGCGTATATAAGAGATAAAAACATATGGTTCTCTCAAGGAACTTAAGCTAGAGTGGGCTGGATTTTTGTCTGAAATTTGCACAAAAACACTTAGTGAGGCGTGTTCTCGCTAAACGTATTAAATCAGGAGACATCTGAGCTATCACTGTAGGCTCAGATCCAAGCCATTGATTTCACTTGGCTCCTTGCAGTGGGCCCGTCCCCTTAGTAGGGTTGCACCCTGCTTTTGTTAATGGGTCCATCTGAGGAAGAATGAAGCTGATGCCCAAACAGGTCTGCTTGTGGCCCAACTGAAGTTGGGGGAGAGGGATCAATATCAGCCAAGGTGTTTCTTGTTTTCTGCTTTCACTTTCTTTTGAGGTGGGTAAGGAGAGGGTCTTGGCAAGTCCTTGTCATTGTTCCAGCTTCCTCTGGGATGTACCAGCTGTCTGGTCAGCTATCTCTAATATGTGGCTCCCCGCTTCTCCGCTGGGAAGAGTACCCGAGGAAGAGGTCCTTGATGACCAGCTCAGCCTCTCAGCTGAGCACGGCCTCCTTACTGACCAGCTCTCTAGTCCCACAGTTGCTGGGGCTCTTGTCCAGCTTCATGGGATGGGCAATGAGTGTACATGAAGGAAGAAGCTTCCTTGCCAGGCCAGCCTCTGCCTAGCAATCCCACCCTCCCTCCTCACAGGCCCTCTCTTGGGACAGCCACGCTCTCCTGTGCAGCTGAGCTACATTCCATGTCAACTGAAAATTAACCCTTTTTCAGTCGACAAGCTCCCTCTCTTAATGAGCCACGATTTTCCCGCCCTTAGTGAGGATAGATCTGTTAGGAAGGGACCCGTAGGCTCTAGAAATTAGCTGGAAGTCAAGGGTTAAAGTTGTTGCCAAGGCCAGAAGGTAAATGCTCTAGGAGCCCAGGAGAAGAGAGGGTACCACGTCACAGCATCTGCCCTGCTGGGTGTAAGCCTCCGGCCCGGCATATTTGCCCATGTACCCCGTGATCTGGCTCCAAGAGCACCCTTCCAGGATGAGATGGTGGCCCCAACATGAACAACTGATCCAACTGTGTCGTTGCCTGTGGAGTTTTTTTAATTAAACTTTTTTGTTTTGAGATACTTCTAGATTCACGTGCAGTTGTAAGAAATAATAGAGAGAGATCCCATTTACCCAGTTTCCCCTAATGGTAACATCTGCAAAACTATAGTACAATATCATAGCCGAGGTATTGCCATTGCTACATCCACTGAGATTATCACATTTCCCAGTTTTCTTGTAAGTACGTGTGTGTGTTTAGGTCTGTATAACTCTATCACATGTGTAAGATGTGTCATGATACAGAGCTATTCCATCTCCACAACAATCCTTCCTATTGTCTTTTTAACCACACCTCCCTCCCCTCTCTTATCCCTTACCTCTGGCAACCACTAATCTGTTGTCTATTTCTACGTCATATCAAGAACGTTGTATCAATTGGTAACTACAATATGGCCTCAGGGATAGAAAAGACAGTCTGGGGAATATAATCAATAATGTTGTAAATATTTTTTAGGGGGCCAGATGGACTCATGTCCTGTTGGGGAAGACCACTTCATAGTCGGTGTAGAGGCCTGACCACCGCACTGTATTTCTGAAGCTGATGTTGAATAATATTGTATGTCAACTATAATTATATATACATATAGCCACGGGACGTGGAGTAGAGAGTGGGAATGGAGTCAATGGAATTGTAATAGATAAGTATGATATCGGGGGTGAGAGGGCAGTAGATAGGGGAGGGGGGTTGTTACTTTGTGAGGGTGTAAAGGCTAACTATTGCTTTGTTCTGTACACCTGAAACTAATAAAAAAAAAAAGAATGTTATATCAATGGACTCATACAATACGTAGCCTTCTGGGGCTTTGTCACTCATCATAATTCCCTTGAGATTCATCCAAGTGGCTGGGTGCATCAGTAGTTTATCCCTTCTTATTGCTTTGCCTGTGGTTTTATTAATAATCATCAAGCAATATTGCATCTTAACATGGCATCAAGGTCTGATGGGACATGATCCTCAAAGACCTTTTATTCTGTGAGATAAAATATGTTTTGTTTGGTACTTCTGAGTGGGAGAAAAACAAAGCAAAACGAACATGTTGCCAGTTTTTCTAGGTACACACAAGTGTACCTCAGTTCATTTGTTTCTTTCCTGTGTTTCTCAGTTCATGTGTTTCTTTCCCGACGGTGGCTGGTCGGGTGGTGATTCCCACCCTAACTGTAACATTGGCTGACAGTTCTTTTCTGTGTCTTCCGCCTCCTTCCTTCCCAGGAGCACATCTACAAGCTGATGAAGAGCGACAGCTACGCCCGCTTCCTCCGGTCTAATGCTTACCAGGACTTGCTGCTGGCCAAGAAGAAGGTATCTTTGGGAAGGGCAGGCTTGCCTCTTAGCACTGTTGGCCCCTGCCTGCTGCTTGCTGCTGGTGTGAAGCGAGAATATCCTCCCTTGGGTTTTCTTTGCTTTCTCTTCTTTCCCTTCTCTATCTGCTCCCACTCCAATGGAAGACAATTAGGATTCTCACCCCAGCCTATTCCCAAGATCAAGGGTGTGGCAGCCTGTCTCCATGTGTGCATTACCTCCATCTGTGTGTTCTGCCCACAGTAGGGAGTGTGATCAAATACTAAGGCCACAGTGGCTCAGCCCAGAAGAACAGGGCTGGTGGAGACACCACTGAATTCCTTAGGAAGTCAGAGAGAGGCCCTCACTGCAAAGTCCAGCCCCCCCTCCACCACCCCCGCACCACCCCCACAGACTGTCTCTCTGTCCAGCTCAGAGATGAGTATGAGGCAAGGATTGGGGTGGCTCCCTCAAGTGGGCGACCTGGCACCTGAAGTCGTTCCTGGGGCTGTTCCTTTCTTGACACCCGCCACCCATCCCACAGCATTTGTGTTTCCATTTAACCAAGAAATAACTGCATCTTAGCTCCTTCTTTCTCCTCCACTTGAAATGAAGTCATGGTTCCCTGCAGCCCTTGGCATCTGGATTTTGGGGCCAATGGACCGTAAGCGTGCAGGTGGTGAGGGGTGACTGAAGCAGGGATAAACTCAGCTGGGCTTTTGGGAAGAGGAAAGGAAGAGCCGAGAGGGGCCTGGGGTCTGGGAAAGGGGAGGCAGGCGAGATGGCTGATGATACCAGTGTGCCTGCAAACCCTCCGCACTTTTCAGCTCTGATCTGAGGCCCACGCGTGGTTAAGTGTGTCTCTCCTTGCACCAAATTCCATGATTTCCGTGCCATGCCACGTAGGACATACGCATCTGCATCTTTTCTTCTCCCCTCAGCCTTCCAACCCTGGCCCTCATCCTCTGGTTGTCCACCCACCCGCTCTCTGTCGGGCTGCCTCTCTCAATCACACAAGCCCTTCTCTCTGTGTACTGTCCATCTCATGTGCCAAAATCCAGTCTGCATATCTGGTTGGTACCACATAAGTCCAGAGTCTAGAAGAGCATTTATATCCTGCTCTCCTGCCCTGAGGTAGCCCTGAGGACATCCCTGACAGTCTGAGAAAGAGTAGAGGACTTGGGGAATGCCCAGATTGTCAGAAACCCAACTTTCTTGGTTGCCTGCACCCGTTCTATCAGGTGTCACTACTATGATGGAAACTGTAACGCTTGGCCTCTTGCCAACCCCCTTGCAGGAGGATGTAGGTGGAGGGGTTCCGAGGGAGGGGGCTGATTTCCCCACAAAGGTCTCTGATGCCCATTTTTTTCAAGAAAGGTTATAGAGATTTATGGTATCTCCAGCCCAAAGCTCAGGAGAAGATCAAAGTAAGTGTTTCTTATTTCTTGTGGCTTAAGACGCTGAACTGGTCACCATTTGGGGAAATTCTTAGGCTCTAGCAGCCCGAACAATCTGGACCTGTCTACATACCCAAAAGAACCCAGAGACCATTTAGTCTCCTTGTGGGTTTGAGCACAAAGGGAAAACGCACCGCAGCTCAGGGGCAGGGCTGAGGTACCTGTGCCTGCAGGTCCTCCCAGAAGAGGAACACTTCTCAGAGGAGGTCATTTGAGGGAGACGGAAACCCACAGCCTCCCTGTGAAATGCTGTAAATGAAATTCATTAGAATTATCCTCCAGCCTCCAAATTAAGGGACATTCTTAAGGCAGAAAGCCCTTGAAAATGCCAACACCGTTCAATATCCGGGGTTAATTGTTTCCATAAACAGTGATACAACCTACTTTTTCTTTCGTTTCTCCCTGAGAGTCTCCAGGTGTGGACTGGATTTGTAACTCGGCACTTTCAGGTAGGCCTAGAGAATCTTCTGATTTCAAGGATGGGCTTAGACTGTGATAGAAATGGCCAGGCTATAAAAGGTATGTGAGAGTCAACCCCCCTGCTAAACAAAGGAATATGAATGGGCCTTACTTTTCTGCTGAGAAAGGCCGCTGATGGGGTCTGGAGACACAGCCCTCTGATCCTTCATCCCTGATTCACCGTCTATCCTAATATTCCCAAAGATAAGGTTTAGTCGCTTCATCGTACCAGTTTATCAAGGGGCAACTGAGCTGGGTTTTGACGACTCCCCCAGGACAATTAAGTACCAGTGACAGTGGTTTTCCAGGGCAGCTCGGAGAGCCTGTGCAAGGCAGTGGAACCCAAATGAGTCAAACCGATGGCTACCCTCTGTGAGCATCAACTCAGTAGCCAGAGCACAGGAATGATAGGCACAGAATGCTAGCTGCAGGGCCTGGGACCAGCCTGATTTGAGCCAAATGTATGCCACCTGGCTGCCCATTTTATTGAAGCTGAGTTCTGCCGTCCCGAGTGGAGACTTGGTATGGTACCCAGGGCCAAGCGTGGATCCTTGTGCAAGGAAAAAGACCAGCCTGGCTCCGCAGTGCTGTGTTGTTTATGTTGTGTTTTCCTTCTGCGATGTCCTCTCTGTCTTCAGGCAGCCAGCCCTGGGGGGTGGGGGGCTTGACTGCCAAGCGAGCCCTCTGACTTGTCCACACGGACAGATGGCCGCCTTTTGCCTGCCCCCTCTGCTCCTAGCACACCCACAGAAACCTGGCTGCTTCTTAAGTTCCCTAACTTCCATTATTTGCCGTGTGTGTGTGTGTGTGTGTGTGTGTGTCCACACGAGTGTGTATCCCCAATCTTGGGCTCATGGCCCTAGAACAGGGCTCTAGGATAAACTAGCAGGTATTTGGAGTATAATTCTCCGCCCAAGCCCCTTGAACAAGCAGGAAACTTGGGGAGAGTGTCAGGTGCACACCACACTCTCCCTTCCTCTGGTCGTAGTGAGAGAGGAGCCCTAGGGAATGTTCAAGGGCTTTGCCTCCTCTTGCCCCTGAGGAGTATTGGGCAGGCTCTCAGCTAAGAGTTCCCCAGAAGATTCCTGAGCCTCCTGCAGACTGCCTTGAATAACCCGTGGAAGGGATCACCTGCCTGAGTACTGAGAGAATATTTTCTTTCCAGAACACTCCTTCTGAAGCCCAAGGCCTTTTACAAAGGACATGGGTAGATCCTCCTTACTCTAAGGACACAGAATGAGAGCCATTTGGGGGCCATGAGGGAGTCACTGAAGTTAGCAAACTTTCTAGCTGCTTCTGGGCAGGAAAATCTCTGAGAAAGTCCCAGCCACTTTCTGACACCTCGTCAGCATCCCACACACACCCTGTGGGCCCTCAGAGCTAGTCTGTTGTGTGCCAGCACTTGGGGCCCCCAGATGGCTGCCAGGGGCTCCTGCACATGGAAGGCCCATCCAAAGCAGTGAGCAGGCAGCACACACTGCTGACTGTGGGCCACGCAGAGCTGCAGCGGCTCCTACTCTGAGCCCTGAAGCGCGATTAGTGTCCTGGAGAAACACACAGCCCTCTCTGCTCACTGCTCCAAGGAGGCCACACCATCTCCTGTGGGCTTCTGTTTTCTGCGTCTCCCACTGACTCTCGCATACAGCGCTGGCTGCTTCTCTTTTCCAGTTTTTTCGCCCTGTTTTGCTTTTGTTTTCGTTCATTAGCTGCCGCTCTGCTGTTTGGAAACCATGTGTAAGCTGAAGATTATTTTTCTTTCTGTATTTTATTCCCTACCTTTTTCCCCCTCGCCCTAAAGCCAGAAAGTGAGCAAGGTCGTAGAACTTCCTTAGAAAAGTTCACTCGCAGTGTGGTAAGTTCAGCTGGTTTTCTTCCCTCATGTTTTTTATTTTGTTTTGTTTTTTCTTTTCTCAGTTCTTTTTTTGTTGTTGTCATTTCCTCTGGGGTGGGAGGGAGTCCAGTGCTTTCCCCCTCAACACACACCCCTTTTCTTTTGCAAGTGTCTGCAGCTTCACTTCTAGGGACGGATTTGCAAAAGACCAAGTGGCTCCCTCTGCAGAAGGTGCACACTCAACTGCGCAGCCTCGGGGCCTCGCACTTGACCTTCTGTTCAGGGCTCTGAGGAAGAAGGACCCCGCCACCCTCTGGGCTGTGCGGTTTGTGCATCTTCTGCAGCAGCCCAGGGAGAAGGCCATCAAACTGTACCATGAAATAAATTGGCTCAGAACCATAGCTCATCTAAAAAAAAATGAATTCCAAATTTCCTTCTGTGAACTCAGGCAGCCATGCAGGAGCGGGTCGCGAGCTGCTGCTGCTGTGTAGGCGGCTTTTGCGTGTGCAAAATGTGGCCGTGCTGCATGGGTTCTGGCGACGTGGTCTAGCTGGTGTGTGTTAGTGGCCTCTGCATGAGTTCAGCCTTTAGTGCCCCTCATCAGCCTCATTTGCATAGTGTGCCAGGACAGGAGGGCAGTAGCCATGGGGCAGAGGGAGAAGCAAGTCCCTGCACTGTCTCTGTGCCCTCAGGGGCAAGACCTTGACAAGCTCCCCAGGCTTTCCTTCTGACAAAGGGAGTTAAGATGGACTACAGGTTCACTCTCTTGCTAGGAAGTGGCCTTACCCCATGCACCCCAGCTTAGGTGGGGTAGAGACCAGCACAGTGGCACACAGGAGACCCTGTGGTAACAAATGAGAGCGCTGAATGAGTAGGTCTTCCCCTGGTGCATGGAGGAGATTCTGTACTGTGGTCTGTAGAACAGCACAGATTCTCTGCAAGATTTGAACAACAAGCAATCCTACTCATTCACTTACTCATCAAAAACAAGCTGCTGAGTTCATGAGGCCCAGCCTGCACTGTTAACATCAAACTACAGGGAACCAACATGGCAGCTGGGGAATAGGGACCCCACAGATGGAACTGGCCATGTTTCTCTTCCCAAAGGCCGGAAACTCATTGATGTTGACTAGCCTTATTCCCCGCTCTGTTGAAGAGGGAAACCCTTGTAAAACTTCACTACAGTGTGATCAGTATCTTTATTTCATCTTTTAAACATAAAAATCTAACAATTCTGGGTTGAAAGCAATGTAGTTATTTACCTGTCATAGCTAGATGCATTTTAGCTGAATTTAAACATTATTTTGAATTTGCTAGATGTAAACATCACAGTAGCCCCAGTAGGTGACAATTAAAATATGGGTGCTGAGCTCTCTCTTCTCGGGTTTTCCCTTTTCTGATGTTTACTCATGAAGCGTCAGAGAGCAGAATGCAAGGCCTGCTGGTCCCCTGTCCGTCTTCATGGCTGTTTTGCCATGAAGCCATGTGGCTTCACACACCAAGAAGTTTCCACAGGCTGTCATAGGCAAGGCCTATGGGACGTCCTCCACCCATCATGGCCTGATAGAGAGTAAAGGGAGCCCATTCCTCTCTGTCCCTTTTGAGGACTGGATACAGTAGTTAGAAGGTATTTAGGGATTTTGTCGACAAGCCCAGAGTGTACTGTGAGGCACCTTGGACTGTCGGTGTAAACTAGGACAGCAGAGCTCTCACAGCCCCATGGAGGCCCTTCAGGTGGACCACATGGGCCAAGGGTGTGAGAGAGGAAGGCTGGTATTCAGACGAGACATCCATACATCTCCAGGCTGCTTTTCATGAGACGTGGGTCTCAGGAAAGGCAAACATGATCTCGGTGAAGCTCTGTAAAGAGTATTTATTGATGTCCCTTTATCTCAGAAGTGGTGTTGGTTCAGTGGTTCTCCAAGAACTGTTAACAAAGTGTTCAGGACCAAAAAGCATCAGACACCTTCCCAGTGTCTGAAACGTGCACATGGGAGAACTTCCCGAGATGTTTTCAGGGCCAGCTGAAGGAGAAAAATCTCCCAGACTGCTGAGATTTTTGGCATCTATGTGATAAAAGGCCCAAATTAAAAAAAAAAAAAACCTGAACTCCCTGCTACTCTTTTATGAAAACTGGTGCATTCTGATCTTTTAGTTCCAGTGGTGGGGATGGAGATGCATTTGCGCTGACCCATCCATGCTCCTGTGCTCTTGGAATAGCACCATATCCACCCAGGATGTGGCTAAGTTTCAAGGGAATGGCCCATGGCTGTAGAACAATGGAAACTCTCAGGGTTATTTTGAGGCTGAAACCCAAAAACTTGGTCTCAACAGCCCAGGGTTCTCATCAAATGGAATTAGCCAACCGACCAATATGCCTTGTAATTTGATAACCATTTTCTAGATGTAATATACGTCAAGTGCCTGATTTCTAGAAAAGAACATCTACACGAATATTTCATGTGCTACATACTGTGAATTATAAAGCTCAATGAAGGGCTAGCTCAATGGTATTCTCATGGTGCTGGGAAGTATGTGTAGAAAGACCATCTATGTCATGGGGCTAATAATGGAAAAATGAGGGTGTGAAGCTGGGAAGCTCATGGATCAAGGATGTGAGGCCAACTGCCATGGAGGACTAATTGGTGGCAAGAAATGTTGATCCTGGCAGTTGGTTAGCTCAGTCAGCAGCTTCTTATCAAGACCGAGTCTGAATCCAGAATTTCTCCCATGCCTGTGTCCTTTCTTTTCTTGGGAAAGGAGAAACATTTTGAGAAGGCAGATTGTTCTTTCCAAGTTTCAGCGGTGTCATGACATGATTGAAAGTGACAAATGTCCCCTTTTACATGAGATTCTGGGGAATAGTTTAATGCAGTTCATGGAAGCTGCGAGGGTCATGCTCACTCGGGTGCAGAAGGGGCCTTGCAACCCCCAGCAGAGGCCATCCTGTGTGAGCTACTCCTTCTAATGGAAGTCTCATCCTGAGTCACCCAGAACTTGAAGGTACAAAGAAAATGTCTGAGGATATGCTGTGTCAAGCATTGTGTAGTTCGGCAGACTGGAGCCACCAAGTCTGTGTGAAGCCCTGCTTACTTGACAGGGAAGGCCCAGGTTCAGAACCAAACATAACTAAAAGTCCATGGCACGGTGCAACTAGCCCATATTGCATCTCTATTCAAAACAGAAAACAGGACTCCCTCTGATGGGCCCAGCTCCACAGATGCCCAGCTGGCCAAGCAAAGCACAGGGTGGATTTCAGCTCCTTGCCCCTCAGCTGCACAGGTGCAGTGAACGACTTACACCACTGTCCATGGTGACCCTGGTCCCAGGAGTCCCAGTCTCAGGAAGAGCTGTAACATATAGCAGCTTCTCAAGGGGGGTGGGGGGTGGGGGGCAGACATGGCCTCAGGTCAAATGAATGGAGCCTGTCTCTCCCTTGTCCTGCCCACTGGGAAGCTTCCTTTCAGGGTGGCTGTAAAACAGGAAAGCCACAGTAGGAAACATCTGGCCTGTCATTGTGGGTTACCTTTGCATCACCTGCCATCTCTTCTTCAGGTTCTTTGGTGGGAAGTCCTAGGCATTACTGACTGGGGGAGGAGGAGGGTTCTCAAACTAAAGACCACTTCCTACCGCTCAGTACCGACCAGCCCGCCATTCTCCACCATCTTCGTGGTTTTGCAGTTAACAGATGAGGGTCTGAGGGAGGCCAGAGCTACAAGGCCCATCCTCCCACTGCTCTCTCATAGGCACGCTCATTCCTTCAGGGTCTACAGCAAAGTGGGGAGGGCCTCTCCAGGGGCTGACTTTGACATCGAGGACCAAGGGGATGCATGGGAGGAGGGCGAGAGGAAGCAATGACATTGTCCCTTTTGGGATGGTGGCCAAAGTTATCCAGTGAGAGCTCCAACCTGGGAAGGAGAAGCTACAGAAACTCCCCTGCTCTTTCTGTACAGTTCCGCAGAATGATGGCATTTATATTAGGATAAGTGGCAGCCCCAACTGATGCTGGCAGTAGCCTCGCTGGGCACCTTTGCCTCGGACTGAGTTGAAGCCTCCATTGCCCTCTGGAGAGTCTCATCAGCTGTAGCCTTGGGCTCCAAAAATGGAAAACGGGGTTGCTGGTGCTTGAGTAAGCACAGGAGGTCACAGAGGAGAGCGGAGACGAGGACGAGGTGTGTTCATTCCCCTCCTAAGAGAACATCACAGTTGAGCTTTGCCAAGGTGCTCCTTAGAATTAAGACAGCAAGGGCCGGGGGTTGAGGGAGCCCTGGCATGTGCTGAGTGGCATCTCTGGGACAGGCGTTTCTGTCCTGCCTGCCAAGGAATGCAGCAGGAAAGTCACATGGAGACCAGGAAGCTCTGGGAGCCAGCTGTCACCCACCCTCACCCTCCCTCATTCTCCCTCCCTCTCCTTTTTCTCCCTCCCCAGCCAAAAGCTAATGAGAGCTAAAAAGTCAGCAGCTCACTCCCTCCCCTGCCCCCTTCCAGGCAACTCTGCAGGAAGAAACCCCCTGCTCCAGGCCCAGGTGCTGAACCGGAAGTGAGTGCGGAGGCTCCTGGCAGGCGAGGCAGAGGGCAGATAACCAGGATATTCAGCCAGCCTGGCATGAGCAGCTCCTTTCTGGAGGAGGGTGTTTTCCCCTCCCCCTCAGTCATGCATGCTGATGGAATGAGTTCTCAAATACCTGGACGCAGCAGAACCCCCGGAGGGCTTTGACTGGAGTTGAAAAAATACTTTTGGACCTCCAGCAAGGGACGATTGGCTAAAAATCTTTACACAGGGTTGGTGTTGATTGCAAATAGTCCTTGGGCTCCTGTGGGACCACGGGTCACAGACTAGACTGCCAGCCTCTCCCATTTCAGAGCCCTGAGAGCTAGTGGTAGTGAAACCCTGGCCTGCCTGGAGATGGAGGTGGACTTCCATAGCAGTATTTGGAGGGGAAAGCATGGAAATCTGCCTCTTTGGGGTAGCAAGGACTTCTGGAACTCTGGGAAACTCCTCAGCAGCCCCCATTGGATGG